TTACTTTTTAAAATTTTTTTATTTTTTGAGTTGGAGTCTTACTCTGTCGCCCAGACTGGAGTGCAGTGGCATGCTCACAGCCACTGCAGTCTCGACCTGCTGGGCTCAGGTGATCTTTCCAAGTAGCTGGAATTACAGGCACATGCCACCATGCCCGCCTATTTTTTTGTTTTTAATATGACAAAAACAAGATGGCTTTGGAACTCTGTGCCCCATCACTCCTGAACAGGCATGTGAAAATTAGAGCAGTTACAATTCAAAGTCCATGGATTCTTAGATTTTAGTATTTTGTGCACTGTGTGAAAAATAATAACCCCCAAGCCCAGCACCATTGTGAATTCAGAACCCAGAAAGTTTTCAGTAACTGATCAATGTTTTCTGAACCTTCCTACAACCTGTGCTGACCTCCTGAGGAAGACTTCTACAGTCTCACCTCAGGCTTCTACAGCTTGACTGGGTACAGGTTACCTAGCTTTCTGACTAGTTACAGATAAGCTATGGCAAAGGGCTATAGCTGAGAGGTGATCAGTTGCATTGACTTGATGCACAATCCAGCCAACCATATTCCAAATCCAGAAAAAGTAGATTTTTTAAGGACAAAAGTGTTTTCCCTTAAACTCACATCCCAAAGCAGCATTGTGACCTTTAAAGGGCAGTGCATCAGACAGCTTAGAACACTTTCCAAGTCACTGCATACAAATTGAGTCTTCCTGAACATAACATACTCTAGTTCCTCCTTCTAAATTCAGTACTATGGTGGAAGGAGGAGGGCAAGTAGTGTTGGGGGTGGTGTGGGGGGGAGCAGGAGGGCTGTGGGTGTGTGTGTAAAAATACAATGTGGACAGAAAGATGACTGGCTCAAGGCAGATGAGGCAGCTCCTTCTCCTCTCTAATATCCTCCTGTACCCAATATAGCCTAAGAAATTCTCAGGTGGGTCATGGAAGACCCAAGGAAGGAAAGGAAAAACACAGAGGTGTCCATTAAGCTAAAAGTTTTGTTGTTGCTGTTGTTGTTGTTTTTGAGTTGGAGTCTCACTCTGTTGTCCAGGCTGGAGGGCAGTGGCACGCTCCCGGCCCCTGCAGCCTCAACCTACTGGGCTCAGGTGATCCTTCTGCCTCAGCCTTCCAAGTAGCTGGAACTACAGGCATGCGCCACCATGCCCAGCTAATTTTTTTATTTATTGTAGAGATGCGATCTCATCAAGTTGCTCAGGATGATCTCGAACCTGTGGGATCAGGTAATCCTCTCACCTCGGCCTCCCAAAGTGCTAGGATTATAGGTGTGAGCCACCACACCCGGCCTTAAGCTAAAAGTTTTAATCCTAATTATTGAAATTCGGAATCATCCAACACAGAGAAAGAGAAATACAGACCAACCCTTGGTCACAGCACCACACATGGGGATAATAATGCAGATGTTGAAGTGAGAGCAGAACATCCAGGGCTCTCTGTGTACCTGACTTGTTGAAGGTCCTCTTATGAGAACAGGAGAGCTTATGAGAACAGGAGGGCATGTTCTCAAAAACACTGAGGACGCCAGGCACAGTGGCCTATGGCTGTACTCCTAGCACTTTGAGATGCTAAGGCAGTAGAATCACTTTAGCCTAGAAGTTGGAGACCAGTCTGGGCAACACAGTAAGACCTTGTCTCTACAAAAGATGAAAAAAAAATTAGCCAGGTTGGGTAGTGCATGCCTGTAGTCCCACCTACTGGACAGGTTGAGGTGAAAGGATCTGAGCCCAGAAGATCAAGGCTGTAGTAAGCTGTTCCTTCCCTTCCTTAGATGGAGGCTGATCATGCTACCACACTTTAGCTTGGGCAACAGAGTGAGACCCTGTCTCAAAAAAAAAAAAAAAAAAAGAAAAGAAAAAAAAAACTGAGGAGCCTCCTTGCCTTCTTGGTGACCTTTGAGAAAGCTCCTCAGTCAGCTAGGGAGAGGAGGGTGGGGTGCAGCTTGCATCAGTCTTTGGCCCTCAAGTCCCCTGACCCTGCCTAGCAGGGTGAGCCCTTGCAGCAGTGCTGGCTGAAATCCACCACATGACAAGGGTTGGGTTGGCCCAACCAGCAGCTTCTGTAACTCAGAGCCCGAGGGTACAAGGAGATTGCTTACTCTTACAGGGAGAGGGTAAGGCCTGGAGGAGTCACGGTGTGGAGCACCAGCACCAGGTACTGACTGGGCCCACTGCCCAGGAAGGGCCAAGCCCTCAATGTTTCCCTTCCCTGCACAGGCCCAGGCCTGCTGCTACCACGAAGTACCCAGCTTTCCAACAGGATTCACCTACCACCACTCTCCATCCATCAGGAGGCAGAACTTCCTGGGATGTGCTATGCATGGAGTAGCACAGACAGAAAGCAGCACATAGAAAGTTCAACCAGAGACTCTGGGCCTTTGAATTTCTTTATTTGGACCAGGTGATATCTGAGGGTGGCTCAAAGAGGCACACTGAAGGTCCTTCAAGTCTTGCTCCCACGTCACCCTCCAGCCTATTTATCATTACAACCCCCCACCCCCACATTCCTGCTCCACTTTTGCTTATATTTTCCCCAAAGGACAGATCAACTTGTAATATTCCATATAATTTACTTTTAAGGGGAGAGTCAATTTTCTTTTCTTATTTTTTTCTTTGAGTCAGAGTCTCACTGTCACCCAGGCTGGGATGTAGTGACATGCTCACAGCCACTGCAACCTCAACCTGCTGGGCTCAGGCGATCCTTCCACCTCAGCCCTCCAAGTAGCTGGAACTACAGGTGTGCACCACCATACCCGGCTTATTTTTCAATCTGTTGTAAAGACGAGGTTTCACCAAGTTGCCCAGGCTGGTCTCGAACCCCTGAGCTTAGGCAATCCTCTCATCTCGGCCTCCCAAAGTGCTGGGATTACAGGTTTGAGCCACCGCACCTCACAGGAGGCTACTTTCATACCAAGACTGCCAATTCTGTTTTATATACTGTTAAGTTCCCAGGGCCTAGAAGATCAGCACTCAACAAATATTTGTAAATGAGTGAATACATCTTTAAGTCGATAGCTGCAAGAGCTCAAAGCCCTGACTGCTGAGGAACCCTCTGGGTAGCATACC